ACTTGTTTAATTGATTAATATCGTCATACTTAAAATTTAATATTTTAATATTGGTCTGCAAAATATGATAATCCTGTTGAAATAGGGTGTGGATGTCTGTTATTCCTCATTCACATTTAAGGCTTTGCAGCTGTATTCGTAGGATATATATTGTGTTATTATAACTCTTTTTTTTTTTTTGGAAAAAAGCTTAGCTTAGATAGCTTTTTAGTGTGAAATGAAATACTTTCGTAATTGTAATTATTTTAAATTCTGAAGTGTGTGTGAGACCAAAGAATTACTATTTCTTTTCAAAAATAAAAACTTTTAGTTAGTCTCTTATCCTCAACTAAAACATATATACTACTTACCTTATTAGCAGGGATATGAAGAATTACAGTGTCCCAATAATGCAATAATTGCAATAATTTGCAGCACGTTCGCTGGCATCAGCAACATCAGTCAGCAAGTGTTGCAAGCAGGCGGCTATCCCAGCAATGAACCTGCAACTATATATATGTGAGTATGTATATTCTAATCGAAGTGGAAGATGCGGCGGCATGCAATAAATTCACAATCAAAGTCGGTGGAAAAACAAAAACAAAACGATGAGCATGGCAATCAACACCTGTCCATCGTACAGCCCTTTTGCCTCTCAACGCATATAATTTGAGGAAAGAACAGAAATGGAGCGTACTAATGTGGCAGCCACGATTGGCCGCCAACAACAACAACAACAAGAAAAGTTGCAGCTCTATTACAACTTGATAATCCGTGACGATCGATTGCCCGAATGGTTTCCCACTTGGTTACCTCGCTGGCTGGATGGGGGCCTGGGCTCACCTGCCTTATTGCGCTGATACGGGTATCCTTCATCGCAATTAAATAATGTTGCTGGCAACATGTGCAGCAGCAGCATTGCAACAATATCGGCAATCTAAACAGACGCGACGGCAACTTGTTGGCCACTTTGCATCCGAGTGCGAGTCGGACTGTGCGAAATTCAAATTACATTTATTTCCAGGACCCTAATCTACTTATTTGGTGCACTTATCGAAATCTGATTAGTTTCGTTGTTGCTTGTTGCTATTGCAGTTGCAATTGCTGTGGCAAGTTAATTTGTTAAAAAGACATTGGCATTAATGTTGTTATTAGGTTTATTAATGGTTGCGGTATGCTTGATGATGATGCAGTGTTAGCCTCTCACCATTGAACTACAATGGCACTAGAATCGCCAAACGAATGGCTGGCTTACAATCAATACACTCAAAAAAACTAAAAAAAAACTATGAAACTAGTGAAACAATTCGTTTCCGAAAACAGCTTACACACAGACATTTTTCTGGGAGCATTGTAATTTCGGCTCATTTGTAAATATATGATTGGCTTTAGAAAGTCAGAGAAATGCCTTTGATTTTTGAAAGCAAGAATGTTTATGAATAAAACTAGTTAACGTAGGCGTCAAAGGTATGGTAGCTTTTCTACAAGTTGCTAACATTTACTGAAGTTTTATTATTAGTAGTATTATTGCAGACACTTAAATCTACAGTTTAATAAAAATATTTCAAATTATTAAAATAAACAGTGGATAGCCTTTTTCCCATAATCGTATCCAGAAATCTGCAGTAGACATCATTAGTTGTACACAATATGTTTGAATTGAGGAGAAAAAATGTGCAAATTTAATGTGTATGGCTATCATTTTTCCATTTATATGTTTAGCGGAATTTCGCCCGAAGATGGGTAAAATTTTCATTTCGCCATTTACATTTTAGCGCAATTTTCACACATTTAAGGGTTCAATTTACATTTTTTCAGTTACATTCTTAGAGCAATTTTTCACCCATTTAGGAGCCTAACTTTCCATGGCGACCAAATTTCTTTTTTAAATCGAAACATTCTTAATAAAATGAGCTAGATTGGTCTTAATAACCAAAAATTTAAAGACGAATAACATTGTTAAGCATTGTTCACAATTTTCACCCATTTGCGAGCTGAAATCTGCAAAATGTATAATCAACTTAATTTTAGCAATTTGCAGTTTTTGAACTTTTTAAAACTTATAATTTACATTTTAATCAATTGAAAAGGGCTCAACCTAAGAATTAAGTAATATTTTTTTAAAAACTTGCCCGCCTTTTTCAACCATTTTGGTAGCTAAATTTTCCGAAACAAATGTGTACCATTACTAAATTATTAAGTGAAGTTTGTAAATATTTTGGATATGAGGACCCAATTATTTTTGGCAGTGTAATGTCTGCTGTTGCCATTGACCAGAGCGTTCTCCACTCAGCGGCATACCAATGATATCCCAGAGACATCCCATCTGCTCATCTGGCGTGCATTTCCAGTTAAAAACGCGGCTAGATTTTTAGCCACGTTGCCATCAGAGTTGCAGTTTTGTAGTCTGCCGTTCATCGTTCAGCGTTCGCCTTTTGAGAGCTCACACAGTGCGCGCAATTGACGCGTGTTGGTGATTGCCGTACCTTTCCTTTTAATGGTGTCCATATGATTCACGGCACTGCGCATATACTACAAGAGATCTCCCCTCCGAATGTTGCAGAAAGGCTTTTGGTTAGTCAAAAAATTCGTTAAATACAATTGCATTTGTTTGGGAGCAGCTCCTCCAGCATCGTCGTCGTCGCCGTCGTCGCCGTCGTCATCATTGTCGATGATGATGTGCTGCCTGGAATCGTGCAATGGCTGGCTTGGCTTAGCCTCAGCTTTAGCCATGGTGTGGCACTCCCCCGCAGTGCGCCCCAACCAACCAACCAACCAGCCAACTAACCAACCAAACAACCAAGCAACAACAAAAACAATTGCAATTTTCAACTAATGCTTATTGCTGGAAATCAGTTTAGAAAAGCCAAAGGAGCGAACACTCCTGTGCGACTCCAATCCGAGAATGTGTGTGTGTGTGTGTGTGTGTGTATTGGCAGACACAGTCACCCAGCCTGAACTCTGCGCTGTTGTTCAGTGAAAAGGTGAGTCCAGTCCACTAACAGTCGCGTCTTTGATGAAAACTGTAAATTTACGAACTTTACTTTAATCACCAAACATGAATCGCGCACAGCATGGGATTGGGGGAATTGGGGATTGAAAGAATCGCTCGTTTCATCGTCGTCATAGTTGCTGTCGTCGTCGCACGTTGCGCACCATCTTTGTGCCGTTGTTGTTGTTGTTGTTGTTGCTGTTGTTGTTATTATTGTTATAGACATACATACAAGTACTATAGTTACTTGGTTGGCTCAAAGCAAGGCGTTGCTTGCTTGGCCTGCTGCTGAAATCTATAGTCAATGCAGTTTTTCTACAACTTGAAATAAAGCTAATAAGTACCTCTCAAAAGTCTACAGAGTGTGTTTTTCAATGTTCCCATTCCATTCAGTTGTTGTCGTTACTAAATAATCATTTTTTAATCCATATATCGAATATACAGTCAAGGACACATCACGTTTTTGCAGAATAAATTAAAGGTACCGCGAATAGTTCTAATATCTTCAAATTCAAATTGGTGTTCTTGCAACTAAACTAAAAACAATCAAAATTATTTTAATGCCATAATCCATTGTAGCTAAGCATATAAATAAGAACAGTTTCAAATTCTTTATTGAACATATTCAGTTCAATTTATTTTTTACTAGCGTCCTACCACTGCTTCGCACGCGTATTTTACAAAAATTTCAATTTTTTTACACACACATACACCCTCCTCTCAACTATGAGTTATTAAAAATGAGGAAAAGTATAAACGTAGTTTGGATAGTATTATTATATATATTTTTTTTATTCTTTATGGAGTCAGAGCTTCTCTGTAAACAGATGTTTTATTTTTGTGGCAGCAAAATACATTGATTTACAGGAGCTCCGACCCATGATAGGTCCAACATACAGTTGGCCATGAGTAAAACATTGCTTTCATAGGTCGATCCCTACTAATTCGAAGGTTTGGCCTTGAGACTTGTTAATACCTAGTTAACTCGATAACTGTTTTTACTGGATATTTAATGGAATGGTCAGTCAGATTGATCAGTAATCAAATGGGATCATCGGTATTCTCGGTATATGTGCCAGCTGCTGGGCCATTGATAATGGTTGCTACACTTAAATTGTCCTGCAATTCCTTCTCGTCGTTTATTTTGCATGCTCGGAATGTTTAATTTCTCAAAAGTTGAAATGATTGGAATTTCGATTTATTTATTTATTTAGCTTCAATTTGTGTGGCGGTTTAGTGAATTTAAAAATTCCTGTGGGTAATGAACTGTGTCTTCGATATTGTAATTTTTTATTTGGCTGGGGACTTTTGAATAATATTCCCTTAATATTGAAAGTTATTAGGTTTGCGCGAGCTGAAAAATGTAACAGGCCGAAGGAGGCATGGCAGACCCTACAAAGTATACATACATATATATTCTTGATCAGCATGACAAGACGAATCGATCTTAGTCTGTGTGTCCGTCCATCCGTATGAACTCCTAGATCGCTTTACGTGTTTTTTTTTTGTACTTTTCCTAATTTTTTTAAATTCCATAATTATTATTATTATTATTTTATTATTATTATTACACCCGACTTTTGCTTCTCCACTTGTTTTTAATTGTAGTTTCTACATCTTTGTGGGTCCATATAACCTCTCAGTTACACATTAATTATAAAACTTTTCTTCAAATACACAGTATTTTAAAAATTACATCACTCGGTATTTACGGAGGTCGTAAAAGAAGTATACATGTATTAGAAATACAAAATAGTGTTTAAAATACGTACTTTTCTATGAAATGTTTGTATCATGTTTTTGGCACATTTTAAATTTTTTCCACTTAACACTGTAATGGATCCACTGCATGAGTAATATTAGGAAAGTACATGACGGTGTTGAAAACTTTCTGTAAGGATCGAACGCTGTATTAAAATAAATGATAAACGCAAACAATTGTAATATTTATTTACTTTTGTTGTTTTTTTTTTGGGACGTTGTCCCAGCTTTAAACATAATTTAAATTACATATTTAATAAATATATGAATGAATGTAACATAAATTGTGGTCTAGCTGAAGCTGTAAATCTTTTGATGTTTATACAGTTTGCAAACACTCCCATTGAAAGCAACACTCAGCTCAAAGTCGGTGGCATTGCCGCCCTGAGCGCTGGGCATAATGCCGAAAAATCCATTCACGCATTCATTTTCCAAAGCACTAATGGGCTTGTCTAAATAGAGCACCGTTTGCTTCCAGTGTGTGACGGGCGATCGCGGTGAGGTGGAGAAGGTTACGGTTGGCCTTGTCTCGCTGACCGGAAAGGACACGTCAAAGTATATGACAAAGGCGTTAATATCGCCCGAATGTTGAACCTTAAGTTTAAAGCCCGATCTAAATTGGAGAGGCTTGTTCCTCATTATGCGCATATCCACGGTGTTTACGACACAGCTATTGGTCAGTATTTGATGTATGGTTACGCAATCAATAACTGCGTTTTTTGTCACTTTTTTTCCAACACAACTCAAGTTAAAGCCCTGGACATTTTTCCATAAGTCCATGCATTTGTCTCGATGTCCATTATCCGTTATACCAGCTATATACAAATTGGCCAACTTGGGAAATACGAGACCATTTCTCTTCAGCCAGATGTCGCGTGCAAATAGCACGTGATGGTACAACGAATTCGAATACAGACATTGCCTGTGAATCAAAAAAGCAGATTGCTTTAATATTTAGCAGACAATTGGTAATCTTACCCCATCCAATTGGAGATTATTATGTCAACCTTTTCAATGCCAGCTGGTAGCCTCACTTTCACGATCGAATCTTTGATTATTTGAACAACACCATTCCATCGATTGTCCAACATAATTTGTTTGGCAGAATCCGCTAATACGGATTCCTCAATGGCTATGACCTTGGCGGCGCCCGCTTTGGCAGCAAAGAGGGAAAGCAAACCCATGCCACAGCCCACATCGAGCACAGTCTTTCGAACAGTGTGAAGAAAGAGTCTTTGAATGTGTATCAAATATTACTTACCTTGCCCTTGAACAAGTGCTGGGTATTCCTAAAAGCATCACGATACGCTAACATGGTGACCGAGTCCTTCAGAAAATGCTGCTGCAATTCTATGCGATCTGCTAAGATCTCCTCCCCCTCTCTCTTCTCAGCCAATTCAAGCTGTTGCGAGTTCATAGCGACAAATGTTTTGAAATAATTTTTTACTATACAACAAATATATAATAGTATAAATATTACACCATGTGAGTATTAGATTATTGCCTACTATGAATAGGCATACATACTATACATACATATGAAGGTATCAGAAAATAGTGATTTGGATAAATTTGTGTATTTATGTATGTTTGTATTTGCTGGAACTCGCACAAAGACTCAGGCCTCAGTCTGGCCCAACAGATGGCGGATTGTAAATCAAAATATTTACATCGATCTCACTGGAATTTTTTGTATTTGAAAAAATATTTAGAGCAACAAAGTGTTCTGCGAATATCATATTTTATTTTTATTATTATTATTAATTAGTTGTTTTTTCAACTATTACCAGCATGTTTGTGAATTTAGAACTAACAAAGTCTCGTGGCACCTTAATTCGATTTTTTATTTATATTTTCAGTTTTTCAAACTGTAAATAATCAGTTTTTTAGGCAAGCCATACAAGTTCATAAAATATAACGAGTACTTTTTGATTAACAACATAAGGTATAATTAATTATAATAACTATGACAGTCGCTCTTGATATATAAAGATTTTTTATTTCAAACATCGCTGTTGATTTTCTCCCTAATAATAGCTTTTTTTTCTATGAAAAGTTAATTTTTTAAAACGTCGATGCATCAATAGTTTTTTACCATGCATCGACCATGCATCGATTTTTGATAAAGAGACATCGATGTACATCAACATCGATGTTTTCCCTTCGACTTACATCCCTAATAAGAATTGTTTGCTGATAACCGAAATTAGAGATGTGTGCACTACACGATTATCTACCACAAACGAAAAAGTGACCGAATATCAATTAATCTGTGTGATTAAAAATAACAAAATGTGACTAAAAGCATATGTTTAAAAAAGCTGCGTTTGGATTATAAAAATGGTGGAATTAATTAGATTTATTGCAGTTATGGTTCTTAAAATCGTTCATCAAAATATATTTCGCGTGATATTTTAAATACCATCTTATGGGAGCGCCACGCAGGTGTAGGATTCTTATTTTTTCCTAAATATTCTTGACTGAGAAATTATTGAATTTGTTGAATTTCGCCTTTCGCTTTTTAATCGAAATATCTTAGAAGAGGAACTAAAGGAACTGAAGACAGGCATAGATCAGTAGTTCCGTTAACGAAGTAGTTCCGATCGTCAGACTTAGACTAAATGCAGTTCAATTGTACAAAAATATATAAATGAGTTAATCATGGATAAATAAAATAATTAGAATAAGTTGTGGCTATATATAAGAGAACTTAAATCCAATTCTAGAAACATTGATGGATGCCTTATTTAGTTTTGTATGGGTTTTGTAAAAAAAGCTCCGATATCGAAGGAATCGCTGGCTTCGTCCTAAACTATGAAAGCTATCGACTAGTACTAGCATAGTTGCACACTAATCGCTTTTATTAATTGTGTGGATTATCGAGATAATACTGTGATTTCTTTTATTGCAAATATTGTACATATGTGCATGGCAATGCGAGAACTCTTTTCGAGTTCTTTGCTCTCGTAATAGGTACGACCGAGCTCCATAACTGAACTCTTTGGCTGGTCCGCCCATTTCAACATTTTTTATTGGCAACAAATTTTTACCACGTTGCATGTTTCAGCCGATGGCATAGCAAATATTTCTTAGCATTTCAACGCATGTTCAGTGTTTTGTTCGCTGTCGTTGTTTTCATGTTTTGATTTGCAACGCGCCGGGGTCCTTTTGTTTTCCGTCTCGCTGGCATTGGTGGCAGGTCGTGGCAGAGACGGTGGCCGAGACGGCAACAACAGGGAGCAGGAAGACACTCATTGACTTTGTCCTCGAAGTTGTCATTTGGACGCTGCTGCTGTTGCTGCTGCTTCCGACTGACTGAGTTTGGCCGATAACTGTGGCAAGTTGTGGCAATGGCAATGGCAATGGCACGGAGAAGGGAGAAGGTCTCGCAGTCGTCCATGTCGCAGCATGTTGTCAGTGTTTATGTTGCTGCGTTCTGTTTGTGCGCGTTTTGGTAACACACTCCCGGTCATTTTAAGTTTTGCTTCTTGGTCTTTTATGTCGTCAATTGCCTGCCTGGCTATTTGGCTGCTTGGCTGCGTGTCGAGTGTTTTGTTGCCTTTGTTTTGCCTCTTTTCGAGTTGATAATTTATTGCTAGGCTGGCGACTGGCACCCAAAACAGTCGTGTGCTGCCGATATGCGGGACTCACACTCGGGCAACACCTTCGCCCATCTGTTGGCCAACTACTTGTACTTCTACTGCCACTTCTCTGGTAGCCATCGGGTTTGTTGTCTCTGATTTGGTCACTTTGTTGTTACAACTTTGTTGTCTTCTGTTTGCCCTCCTGTCGCATATGCTCTTGTCTTGTCCAGTCCCTCCAAATGTGCCCAACAATGAAACCGAATGAAAAATTCGCTTTGGACTTTTGTGTGTCGGCTGTCGCTTGGAATTAGTAACTACAAGTATGTTAAAAGGTTCGTTCATGTCGGGCTTGTTATGACTTTTGTTTGCGCACCAGCAGTTCATCTATACTGGCCGAGTAATGCCTTGCCACCTCAATAGGCCGGGGCCAGCAGGACAGATTGTCCATTTGTTTCCCTCATTCGCCAAGTATCAGTTACACACATTTGCAGCTTCACGGTGTACTCCTGTCTGAAATAAACAACAGACTGAAAACCCAATAAAATATTTGAAGAGAAGAAAATAAACTTAAATGCCTTAAATGGCTATGATATCAAGGCTCTACGTTTTGGGTGTTCCACATTATTTTATTCCAAATCTTTGTAAATAAATTGTGATTGAAAAACATTTTCTTGGAGCGTGTCTCACTTTTTCCTGTTTCTTGAGCAGATATATAAATATTTTTTAATGAACGTATTATATTGAGAAATCTATATATAAAATTGTTTATTTGGAAGGCCTGCAGTTCAGTTGCTTTCACAGAAAAGTGAAAATAGTAAGACTATTAAACCAATCCCTTTATTTTTCTTGGTTCATAAAAAGTACATATCTGAGTACTATTTTAGTGAATGTATTATATTGAGAAAACTATATATGTAAGCAGGCAAGTTACAGGCGATCAGGCGACACACCAAAAGCGACAAAGCTACGAAGCGGAGGGACAACAGACACAAGAGAAGAGCAAGTCGTTAGAAGCAGTCGAGAGAGAACAGTCGTTGCAGAGAGTCGTCGTGAATGGTCGTCAGTCGAAGAAGTTGTCAACGCCAACCGTCGTGAACATATTAATCATATTGAATTGAATTGAACTGAATTAATTGAACTATTGTTATAATTTGTATCATTTTTAAAAATATATTGTACTTAACATAACTTTACATATGGGGGCTCGTCTCGGTCAATTCTCGGTTAATATTTCCTTCAGTGCGTGTAAAAAACGACTGATCAGTTTGTAAAAGTGGACATTGACAAAAGTTGCAAAAGCAGAAGTTTGGCCGATTGATAAAAAGTTGAAAGTTGCTAAAGTTGTTTAAATTGATCGGTCAATGCAGAAGCTAAAAGTTGAAATGTTGTAAAGTTGCTAAATTTGTTTAAATTGATCGGTCAATGCAGAAGCTAAAAGTTGAAATGTTGTAAAGTTGCTAAATTTGTTTAAATTGATCGGTCGATGCAGAAACAAAAAGCTGAAAAGTCGTTAAATTTGCAAAAGTTGTGAAATTCGGCAGTCGAACATTCTAGGTCTTTCTACGTCGTATTGTCAGCCTGGCGCCAGCATCATACGATCGAGCGAAAAGTTACAGTTATATACCCGCAGTTGTGAAATAAAAAACAATTAAAGCGAAACTATGACCAAGGTCAAACGTACGCCGGCAAAGAAGGACGCAAAAGTAAAAGAACAAAGTGATGAAATGCAGGAAGCTGTTGGTTTAGTACCGCAAGAAGTTGTTATTGTTGAACAAGATCAGGGTGACCAATTGTGTGAAAAGAAGATAGAGCAGCAGTTGTGTGAAAAGAAGATGGAGAAGCAGCAAGAAGGTATAGAGTGCAAAATTCAGCAAATGTTGCAGTTGCTAACACTGAAAGTGGAAATCGATGAAAAGAGAGAAAATGAAAGAGTGAAAATCCCTATAGACAGTTTTGACAAAGTTGTGTGTGAATGTGATGGGTATACAGTTCCGATAGATAAATGGTTTGAAATGTTTGAAAAGAATGCAAATGCCTATGATTTGTCCGATATGCAGAAATATGTACAAGCTAGAAATAAAATGTGTGGTGCCGCCAAGCTATTTTTAGAGTCTGAAACAGTCGGTGACTACTATGAATTGAAAAGAGCATTATTAGAAGAGTTTGAATGTAGCCTAAATAGTGCAGATATACATCAGCGGTTGCAAGAGCGGAAAAAGAAAAAAGACGAAACCTTTCACGAATACATGCTACAGATGAAAAAATTAGCGTCAGTCGGTAATGTGGAAGATGCGGCAGTTATTCGCTATATTGTTGATGGTTTGTTTATAAAAGCTGAATATAAGTGCGCGATGTATCGTTGTAAAACATTTAAAGCATTAAAAGAGGAATATGACATTTTTGACCGGCTGAACACAAGTGAGCAAAAGCAAAACAAACCGAAGCAGAATTCAAATATAAAAAACGTGGTAGATCAAGGCGCAAAGAAGGACCATTGCTTTAATTGTGGCTCATCTGAGCATAAACGTAAGGATTGCACAGCTGCTGTAAAATGTTTTAAGTGTAATCAAAGCGGTCACATATCTAGTAGTTGCCCTAAGAACGAAAATAAAGTGCGTGTTGTTGTTGATCGCCGCCGTGTGAAGTTGGCCTGGATAAATGGTACAAAAGTAGAGTGCCTTGTGGATACCGGCTCTGACGTAACAATTATTAAAGAAAATGTAGCTAAAAATATCGCCAATGTTGACATTCTAAAGAGTTCATCCATGTTGCGAGGCTTGGGCAACATAGCAACGAAACCTGTTGGGTTCTTCATAGCCGAAATAACAGTAGATGGTCTGCACACAAATCAGAAGTTTATGGTGGTCCCAAGCTGCAAAGTCGAC